CATTCCTATTATGTGAACAGGACTATAGTAAAGAAACCCAGAGCACAGACTGCTCATCTTAGAGAGGATTTGGCAGGTCTGAATTTAACATGGCTTTGCATATTTTCTAGAAGATAAGCCTGTGGAGAGGATAAGCATGGGGAGAAGAAGCTGGTTTCTCATGTAAGCTGTCTCAGACAGGTTGCCCAAATTAGTCTTTGCCAAAACAGAAAGAGAAGATGAATGGATGTATATAAAGATCAACTACATCTCAGTGATAGATCACTCATCTCCCAAGACTAGCAAATTTTTCCTGGGTGTTCTTACCTTGAACTGGAGCCAAAGGTTCATAGATTACTCGATAACCCTGCAAGATCCCATTCGCTGCTGCTGGTTCTCCCCAAGACACATTAAGTGTAGAGCATGTGATTTCAGAGAAAATCAAGAAACTGGGGGCACTTGGCGCTGGAAGAAATAAAACAGAAGGAATGCTTGGTGTCAGAGGATCACAAATGTTGCCATGCACCACACAAAATGTATGTATTTATTACGGCATTGCTGCAAGCCTGTATCCAGCCTATAAGACTGGTACCAGGGCCTGTAACAAAAACTCTCTTCTGTTTTTCTGTCTAATCAGTTGTGATTAGGAAACTCCTTCTCAAACTATCACTCTTTTTCTAACTGCTAAGATAAAGCTTCTTGCAACTGTTTGGTGCTTCACATCTTAAAATCCAAAGCTTTTCTCAGTTTTATATTGGATTTTGGGGACAGTTTTCCCCACCCGTGTTGGACAACGTCTTCAGCACTTGTCAGCTCGTATGCATACTGACTGGAGAAACATTAAAAGGCACAGATATGAACAGACCCTGATCCAACATGATGAAACCTTCTGATTGGGATTGTTTTGGCCCTATCTGCTGCGCATTTCATACATTATGTCTGATAATATAAATACACAATAGTGTCGTTTCAGCCTAGGCAAAAATTGCAAACTGTTCTGTAAGGACAGAGCCTCTTTAGAATATGATGCCCTTTGGGATCTTGACTCTACCTACGTAATTTCAACTCCAGGTTCAGGTAAGCTAATCAGTTGGGTGCAGATCTGGGCTAGGATGTGTCTGATGTCACATTCACAGGGAAGCAGCTAAGAAAAATGGCCAAATACTTATATATCTTCATCATGTCAGAACACTGAGATGTGAGAATGAGACACACGTATTTAGGAGAAACAATCTTTGTTTATGACGTACCTTATCTCTGACCTTCCAAGGTGTACCCCTTTTCCATTTTTTGTTTAAATCACAGGAAAAGAGACAAATGTGTGGGTTCACACATTTTTCTAAGCTATAATGAAGTTTGTTTGACTTGGGCTTAGCATGATATAGAACCCAACCATCTTGATTTGTAAACCATGCTTCGTGCAACGTGAACCCAGCCAACTCTAGCTTATTTAACAAGCTGTGGCTAAAACATACTATGCTCTAGTATGGTGTATAAGCTCAACCACCAAGTTAAGAGTGCAAAACTCTGTAGAAGAATCCTTCTTGTGCTTACCTGCCTGGAGAGTCCTGCCTTCCCCGGGGCTTGTCTTGGGTCCATCCCCTGCTGCATTAAAAGCGGAAATAGAGACCAGGTACTTGGAGTAACTGGTCAGGTTTTTGAGCCGGATGCTTGTATCTGGGAGGAAAAGGACCTTCACTTTTTCAGTGTCATTCTGACTGTCTTCCTCCCAATAATAAACCTGGTTGGGAAAAAAAAAGTTGACCTCAATATTCTACTTTTCAAGTTACCATTAAATCATTTCTAACACCAATTCACAACCAGAGTACCTGTTGCCTCACTGGCAGGGAATTCTGGGAGTTGGAATCCCAGTGCACCTGAAAAGCACTTTAGATCTAGCAGTCAATTCTTGGGGCTGAGCGCCAGTAGGGCTTGCTCCGTATCTAGCCACTTCACGGCCAAGTTAGCATGATTACCAGCAATTAAAAAAACCCCAAACCCACTTTCTCATAACTTCCTAGCAGAGCCCCTGGCTTGGCAGTGGAGAACCACTCATGAGCATAATGGCTCATCAATTCTACCCGAAGCTCACCAGGAACCTGACCTCACTGTCCAGCCAAGAGTCTGCTCTGGTGTTTACAAGCCCAGCTATCAGAACAGCCCATGCACAAACAAAAGGGAAGGTACACAAATTGCTACAGCAGGTAGCTACTTCTGCCAAAGAGTAATGCCAGCTTATTTTGTTGGCTCCTTCCTTCTCCATTTGTGGCTCTCACATGCAGGTGGAGGATGAGCCAGGCGATGGATGATGGCCAAGCTCTAAGACTTATTAGAAGAATAATGCCATGTCAGAGTTTTACAGGCCAATCATGGGCCATTGGCTAAATTGTCTCTTGGAGGGGATCTTGGACCTGGGGTGCTACCAGACCTCTAGCTAATGACAGTCACCTGGTGTGCTTTTCTCCAACTTGGACTAGTCTTCTAACGTCACCCTTCCTAAGGAGAAGGAGGAGTTGGCTTTGAATAATTTCTCTGGCAATATCCAGATTGGATTACTCTTGCATTTGCATATTTGACACCAGGCAATTTTGAAGGGCATTTGGAAATGAATGATAATTGAAGTGTGACTGCCAGATAGTTACTACCCAGAAAATATTCTTAACTTGTGACAAATGGTTTCTTGTTTGTTTCTGGGAACAATTCCCTATGATCTGGGGCTAGGGTATGTTTAGAACTGCCCATTGCCACCTGAATCCCATCAGGCTCCCATTTCAGATCTCCTACCCAGAAGAGGTGCAGTACTAACTATACCTCTTGATGGGAAGCCCTTAATGATAACATCATGTCTAATATTCTGTACTTCTGCTCTTCAGGGTTTAGACTCCATTGAGACTTTCTTTTATGAGAACTTGTGGATCTACTTGAGTGAGGAAGTCTGAGCTTCCCTTCTTCAAATTGAGAGGAGAGGGAGTCAACTGTATTAGACTTCAACTCCCATCATCCCCAGCCACACACATCCTTTGCAGTTTGGGAACAGCATTCCCCATGTTGGAAAAGGCTGGTCTCAGCCGGCATGGCTGCGTCTGTCCTGATTCTTTCGCTGCTTGTAGATTTGCAATTGGTTGCATTTCTAACTTACTGGGATGGGTAGACCCTGCGAGAGAAGGGCCACTGGGGTCAAAAGGAAGAATAAAAGTGACATGGTTAAATAATCGATGTTCATGAAAACAAGATGGGCTTCCGCAATCTGTGTTTTGGTCTCGCTCAAAGAGTCAGAACATGCACCCGGCTAATCTCTGACAGGCTTGCCCCGGCTTGCCTTGTAGCCTTGTATGTTTCCATTCTGGCTGTCCACGGGAGGTGGATCCCAGGTGATCTCCAGCTGACTTGCAGACATGGCACTGATATGGATATTCTGGGGAGGCATTGCTGGAGCTTGGGAAAGAAAACAGAGAGAAGAGATCGGGAGAACGAAGAGGCATTGACTGAGCTGACACCACAGCCAGAGGGAAGAAAAAGATCTCAACTGACCAAAAATTTGGTGTGCGTTAGATTTCTCAAGGACTGCTGCTACCCTCAACATCATCTTTGGAAACTCTGCCTCCACCTCCAAAGGAATTCAGTTACCAGATTCTTCCATCAACTTTCCAATATTGTTTCTTTTGCTTTGGCTTCAGGTGACTGAGAAAGCAGAGACTTGTAGAAGCGATGTGAACATTTCTCCTCTCAGCCAGCATTTGGAAAGTGTGAACCAAGTATGGGGGAATTTAACTGGACAGGTATTTTAGGCATCTAAATTAGGTGCTAGAATTGAAGGGAGGGATATAGGTAGGATAAACAAACGCCTGTTACTTTTCCTCCTAGGTTAGCCAGCAAAACCGAAAAGCCCACACAGACGTTCTTTCTCCTAACCAACCAACCAGCTCTAGCAGACGCGTACGAGGCATTTGTGAATAGGGGGCACCAAACTGATTTTAGCAGGGATGACCGGAGGCGACCAACTTTTCCGAGGTAGCTAAAAGAGAACCGAGTGCAACGCCTTTCTCGCCTGCAGGGGGGACTGCAATAACTTCTGTCCACCGTGCTGGAGAGCAGAGCTTTGGCTGCTCGGTGCCCATTCAATATCCCACAAATGGAAATCATAAAACATTTGCTACCCAAAATATAACTCCAATTATCTACTCCTCCGATGGCTTCCTTCTATGCAGGCTCTGACCTTCATAAGGCACGTTATTATTATATATTTATATATTTCCTCCTCCATTCCTCTCTGGGGTTATAAAATAAAATAGTAATTAACACCCACTCTGCCTGACACCAACTATTTATTTTGTTCTAACTGTGCTGCTTCCTTATTATTGCTGCCCACCCTGCCGTTAATGGAAATGTTAATAACCAGCGCCAGGTTGTTGTGACAGATGCTTGAGATCATTATCAGAAATTCTTATTTACCGCTCCATTAAACGGCAGAATCACACACCCAAAAGGGGGGGGGGAAGGGGGGAGGAGAGAAAAAAGAAAAGAAAGAAAAGAAACAATTCCATGAAACTAACTGGGAAGAATTGGAGCAACTGCACTGCTCGTCTGAAACATAAATGCAAAGATGTGGAGGGTCTGACAGGCTGGCCTTTTGCGAGGTAGGGGGAAATTAGTGGGGCATCATTAAAAAGTGAAATGCAAAACAAAGCAGAGCCGTTCTTTTGGGGGGGGGCGATTAAACAGAATTAAATGATGGTGATGATACTAATTAAATGACTGTTGTTTTATGAACGCGTTTTCTCAAACTAAGAAGCATTTCGGTTCCTCAGGGTGAACGCTGCACACACATACCTACGCTGAGATGATGGATGGATTTGATGCACAAGGAAAAAAAATATATCCCCCCCACTACAAAATGCCACACCTGGAGCCCATCCTTTCTCTGAGGATGGCATGAATGGACCCTGTTTTGATCTCTGCGCAAACCCATGACATGAATTTGACTCTTTAACACTGGTTTCAAGAGCACCGGCTCTCCCTGTACAGAATACAGTAGATTGCAGGGGCCTCCTGATTTTTCTTAGTCAATTGCGAGAAATGAGCATTCATATGGATTTTCTCAAATAACTTTTAATCCCTGAAATCTTTTTCAGCTGATAAAAAAGAGACACCCCACCCCCTGGAGGGGCTTACACAAGAGCGAGAGGAAATTGCTTCTTTTCCAGCTAGATTGACAGCTGAGGGCTCATCGATGGGTGAATGATTCAAAGAAAGTGAGATGAATTAAGGGCTGATTTTCAACAAGAAGCTCATCGATTGCACCGTTGTTCCCAAACTGGGTTGCTACAGTGCATCTTTTTATATACTTATTCTTATGCTTCTCTGTTCAGATGTGTTCCAGCTGCTTGGTAAGCTGAAAGGCTGATGCTCGCTGTTCGTCAGTGAACAGCCAGGTCTTCAGAAGGGTTTTTGTCTTCCTGCTGCTGAACTTGAAGGGGAGGGCCGCTCATTTCTTTTCGAGGGAGCAGAATCACTGGAAACATTTCTCGGGTTCTTCGAAGAATGATGGGGTCCTGGTGATGCTGACCGCTTGGACTGATGATGATGGCTTATTTACATAATGCTCTTTGGGATTGCAGCTTAGAGGAGAGATCTCCCCTGCCCAAGAAATGAACAAGTGGTGGCTCTCCAAGCCTTGCTAGAGCACAGCTTCTACCAGCCATGCTATGGGGGCTTAGTGGAGACAGCTGGTTTTTACAAAGCATAATGTATCCATGCTCCATCCATATTCAAGAACATTATTCTCTGGTGAATAGACAAGGCGGCACCTTTCATCCCAGATCCTCTGCTTCTCATGGATTCTCGTGGATTCCATAAGCCTTGATCTCACCTAATATACCTGCATGTTTTCAGAGATTAAAATGGCACCAGCCCAACCCAGTTTGAACTGTCAGAATCAGTGCAATTAGTTAACTGACTCATTTCACCTGCACAGTTTAACATAGTTGCTTCCTCTTCAGGGAACAGGTTTTGGAATCAAAGCTGTTAATCAGGCAGTTATTAAAGAGAGCGGAGAGAGATCAAGTGCCTTACCTAGGCAACAAGGAAATTCCTGGGTAATTTACCCATGAATTCTACAAGAACTCTTGATCATCACCTAAAGCAGCCCTCATAGCTAGAGATGGGGGATATTCTGAATTAATTATGCAGTCAGGAAGTGCAAGAGAAGAGGTACTGTTGCTACTGCTACTACTATGACCCCCACCACTAATATCAGAAGCTTAGAATATGTTTCTTAAAAATGAATTCAAACGAAAGTTGATCCTGTGACTACGCACATGTGTGAAACCAACCTCTGGGCATTTAGGAATAGTTTACATAGACCCTGCAGAGAAAAACATCTCCAAGCAAGGGTTCAGCTCATCAGTGGGACATCAGGTATGGCAAGGCTCTCAAACCTGAGAGGACTGATGGCGTATCTTCAGACTAGCGAACTGCAGTTCCCTTGTCTTCCATCTGGAGGTGAAGAAGGAAGATCAACAGGCTTCTGAGATCCACTTGGAGTGACATTGGAACCGAGGGCTGGGTCTACGCCCTGAGTTGGAGAAACGGAGGCTGAATTCTGTCCAGTGAAGTGAAACCGATTAGCAGGTCAGAAGAAGGGGCTCTCCAGTCGGGACTGCTGCTTCTTCCATACTTTCTCTCTGCTGGCCACTGCTGAAGCTGGGGAGAGCTTGGCCCAAACCCCACTGCACCCCCTTTGGCCAAAATGAAATTCATTTTTTTAGGTTGGGTACAAGCCCCTTTCGAGCTGCACAACAGCACAGACCAAAGCGCTTAACCAAGAATTAAACAAAGAGCTGTACCCCCGGCACGTAACCCATTGGAGTCATACTGAGCACTGCTTATGAGTAATATTAACAGCTCAGTGAGCTTTTAATGAAGTACTCAGCTGCTACAGCAGCCCAACCAGAGCAAATGATTTCTTTGCATTTTCAGCCTTACCAGTGGAGAATTAAGGGTGGCAGATAAACCCCCTCCAACAAACATCTCAATTTGAATGTATTTTCTTTGCGTTTTAAGACTGCGGTCTCGCAAATTGCTCCGGTAGCAGAATGTGGAGTTCGCAAACCTCTCCCCCTCTATAGCTTGGTCTCCTCCTGCTCTTCCTGGCCTGAATTGCTGCCTCAAAAAGATCTGGGGGAATCTCCATTTGCTTTGCAAGCATTGTAGGGGGAAATTCCCCAAGACCCAACTGATAACTGGAGACCACACGATCTGCTTGAGCCAAGTTTATTAAACTGTGCGGGGGACAGACCACAAGGTTCGGCCCACTGAAAAAGGGTACAAACAGCCTTTATATAGTTGTACAATAAATGCTGATTATTAATGACGTGGATATGTCATTAATACTCAGCTTGTATTATTTGATTGCAAGGATTAGATTTATGTTCATGGTGTAAAATATGCAATTAGCACAGCGAATATTTGCAAAAGCCAGCTTTTGTGGTTATGGACTTCCCATTTTCCCATCTAAAAATACTACTATTGCTGCAATAACACATGAGCTAGTGTCTGCAGCTTTCTGTAAGCATCTAGGCAAGCTAATGGAGCAAGTCAATAGAGAGGCTAACTTGAGTCTTTAGAGGCCTTGATAAGTTACAGGCTTTGCTTCAGTCTTTGGTTTGACTCCTTCAGCATCAAGACCTCCATCTAAGGAAGAAGTCACAAAGATGAACAACTTGCCACGATGGTAAGATTGTTGTTAGAGCCAGAGGTTTCAGGAGGTTTTCCTGAAAAGTTATAAAAGATGAAAAATCTTTTCTTTTCTCTTTGGAATAGGATAGGTACAGAAAAGTTACGTTGGACAAAGCAAGAAAAAAGGAACTTGAGAGAAGGAGCTTTTTCCATTTCATTTTTGACATTTATCCCTTGCTTCATTCACCTCTGTTCTACAGAACTGAGAGAAATAGAGAAGAAAAGGAATGAAGTCCCACATAGCAAAGCTCAGAGGAAATATATCCCAAAAGATACCCTAGCTGATGCCTGTGAAATCAGGGTAGGATACAAACAAGAATTTAAAAAGCACAGCAACTTTGGATAATCAGAGGTGCGCCTTTATTTTAATTTTGGCCATAGACTGGGATAGTTCTCATTTCTCAACCAAATACCATAAACTCAAATTGCACCCTCAAGTATGCAAAAATGCATATTCCTGGTATGAATTTGGTTTAGAGGGCAGAATTAGTTCTTTTTTTTTTAAATAAAATTCAGAACATGTTTTAGCAACAAGTGGCACAGAAGCAGCGTACGTTTTACCTAGAGAGGCTATCCTGTTCCAAAACTGATTTCAGTGTGGTTTAAGCAAACTGGTGAGTGCGGGACTGAAGCCAAAGAGAGCTGATGGGCATCTGGGTGTAGAAATTGAGAGCAATGGCTCAGGGACAGAGAACATCAATTCATGTTCTCCACTGATTTCTACAATTCCCATTCCTGCCTTCAGGCTTCCTCCCCATATGCTTCAAGAGGCTAAGGAGAACATTTTAAATCAGATCCAAAGGACCTTTGGTGTGCGTACATACAAAGAGATGCCTTTGCCTTCAGATTTGAAGGGCAAAATGAGATGTGGAGCACGTGTGGGCGTCTACATAGCCCCAGTGGATGTTGGACCACCTTAAGCAGCTGCAAATTCCCTGAGGTCATGCCGCTGCCCTCTGTAGCTAATATGTGGCCCTGGGAAAAGATGCATTAGATTTAAGATGTTTCCACCAGCTGCTGAACGCTTTTTTTTTTTCCAATCCGTTCAATTATGCCCAATTCTCGGAGACTACCTGGACAATCCCTCAGTTTTCTTGGCAAGGTTTTTCAGAAGTGGTTTGCCATGGCCTCCTTCCTAGGGCTGAGAGAGGGGGACTGGCCCAAGGTCACCCAGCTGGCTTTGTGCCTAGGCGGGACTAAAACTCCCGGTCTCCTGGTTTCTAGCCTGGTGCCTCAACCACGACACCAAATACCTGTGTGCATCTTGAACCACATAATGCTCTTGGAATCCAACACGCTACAAATCTTAGCACACAGCATATTGCAACCTGAAGAATGAGGTCAAGGAAGCTTCTGTTTAGAAAAGGTGAAAGCAGACTCAAGGCATAAAAGGTAACTTTTATTTATCTTTCTCCCTCTTATTTCCCTAAATGAGTTTCCCTCCTTCCTTCAACCTTCCGTGAGAGTCTGACGCTCACGTTCATCATCCAGACTGCTGGCCGATGTCCTCAGACTGCTTTCTGCTCCTGCTTGACCAGCCTGATCAACCATAGACCCTCTGGGGAAATCAAGGACATTATTTCACGGGAGCTGTCCTGAAACCAAGCCACCTGCAATTTATTTATTTGATTTGTCCCCCGCCTTTTTATCTGGGGGCTGACAACAGAAAAATAGGCATTACTTGAAAAACACAAACAAACAGATGTGCAATTGATGTTTCAGACCTAGGTAGGAAAACAACTTAGAGGAGATGATAGCTTCAAACTATTTCTCGGGAAACATGGGCAGCAGGAGGAAAGCAAATAATTACAGTCAACAGGAAAAAAGCACATTTGCTTTCAGCTCATTCAAGACAGAATGAGGAAGCAAACTCAAGGGCTGGACTGGGGCAGAGAGCAATTGCTCCTTTCCAGCGCTCTCCCCAGGCTACACCAAACTTCTATTGTGTTGATTGAAACTGCTTCCTTTTTGCCTAACAAAAACAGCCTCACACAAGACATCGCCTTTTCAACAGAACCCCCGCAAGGCAGTTGTTAACACGAGTCAGATAAGCAGGCGGGTTCCCAGGGAGCAGCAGGTTTCTCCTTCCCTGCTCCTTTCCATTACTGAAGTCCCCATCAAAGCTCATTATAATTTCTTTTAAAAAAATTAAAAGGAAGATGAGAAGAGTGGAGATGTATTTCCCAGTTGCATCCTCTCCCATGAAGTGTGAAGGTTGTGAGTGTCATCATCAGTTAAGATGACATGTTTCACTCTTACTGTCGTCTTTGGAGTAGAGGATTTATGGCTTTGGTTTAAAAAGAGGCTATTTGCAGGTGAGTTTCGCCTCCCTTCTTCACCTTAACCAAGCCCACTTCCTTACAACGCTACATATTCCGTTCGAGTTCCACCAAAGGAGCTTGGTGGGGTAACAAAGAGTCACCCAAGCATGGGAGTTTGTTAGTGGGGCTGCATCACTCTCTTTGGTTTTATTCACCTTCCTACATTAAGGAGAAGAAAAGAATGCATGCCATCTTGAGAACGTTGGAGAAGAGGGAAGATGGGAGTCTGCTATATGTATAAGTGAAAACTTGTCTTTCAAAGATGACAAGTGACTGGTCGCCACCACATCAACTACTACAGTTCCATAGCAAACAAATGGATGTGAGAAATATCTTGGAAGATTTCAGAGGTTGCAAGTGTCAACATAAGCCTCCCTACAAGATTTGTAGGACAGTTTTGGAGACAAAGGTTCACGGGCTACTTGAATATGCCGGTGGAAGTTCAGTGTGGTGGGCGCCCAATGAAATGAACATCTCACACAGGTGTATCATGCTTCACTAGGCCACCACAAACATTCTAAGTGTATAAAGTCCTCGGGGTCTTGAACCAAGAACTCTGGCTGTGACGTAGGTTACTTTTTGGGCGTCTCTGGGGCTGTTCTAAGGCAAAAGTAATTATTTGTTCATTTTCTGCTAACTTGCACAGCTGCCCATGCGGAGGCCAGATATAGTAGTATTTGCCTTCCATCCAGTGAGACTGCATGAGGCAATTAGTTAGCTCTGCAGGATGACTGCTCCAGGGTTGCCTCATGATTCTAACCAACTTGCTCAAGGAGAAGCTAACAAATAAACTCTGCATGGTCCGTCTCACCTCCTTCTCTACCTGCTTCAAAACTTGATCACTGGCTCGAGTCATCAGCTTCCAGGCTACTTCCAGCCAGTTGCTCCAAACTGGCCCACCACAGCCTGATGAACTTCCAACAGAAGCCTCTCCTTTACCTTCTATTTGTTGGAAAGGCTTTCTAAGAAGACCAGTGAAAGGAGCAGGTGTAGGATATACTCCTTTTCATATACAATGTTAACATCTGGAAAGGTAAATGCATCAAATAGATCACTGCTCAACATGTGCAGAATTATATTTACACTGTCTTCTTTGGCCAGTGGAAGATCAACCGATTGGAAAATTCTACTAGTGACTCCTCAAGTTTTAGAAACTGCTCCACAGAGAACAGCACTGATTAATTTATGGAGTTTAGGAAAACGATAACAGAGCATTACCACAATGTTTGAAATGAAAAGGTCGGGAAGAGATGATGGCTTGTTTGGGGCCTGAGACATCTTGAAATTTAATGAAAATGTAATGAAAATAATGCTAGAACCTGAAATGAAAGCTTTCATGATAAATACAAAGGATCGGTGAAATATAAGAGAAAGCAGATTGGTGCTGGAGGTGCACACAGAATCTATTGTAGGGACCTTCCTTCCAAGGGAAAAACATGAACTTAGAGCTGCAGCGATGAAAATAGACGCATTCTATGGCAAAGAGGCCCAATGACCGTGTGGAACTTGGCCAGACTGAGAGGAGTGTGGAGCATGTGACCCACCGCACTGAGTATAACAACATTTTGGCAGCCTAACTCGGGCTTGATGAACCTCTGCCTGCCCGATCTGGTACTTGAAGGCCACCATCTGTGATGGGCAAGATTGCATTTGGCTTGGTAGACCACATCCTCTTCAGACCTTCATCAATGCTAGATCTTCTGGGAAAGGCGGCAACAGGGGGCCTTTTATGAAATCACCCTAAATCTCTCTCTTCCACCTTCACCCCACTAATCCCAATACTGGCCTGAGCAAATTAACACCGGATATTTATTTCTGAAAGACAAGTTTTCACTTAGACATATAGCAGACTCCCATCTTCTCCAAGGTTCTCAAGATGGGATAACGTGCATGTGGTCCCCCAGCCCCCTTGTTATTATGTTCCTGGTAGCTTTGTGAGATCAACCTGAAAGAAGGTAACTGTTGCAATATTAGTTTAACAACTGGGAAAGTTCTTCTTTGACGCAATAGACTTTATCTTTCAACTGAAACTGAAATATAGATATCACATGGAAGTGACAAACTTTTAAATCACGAGAGCATTCCTTTACAAACATTTAACAGAGTTAGGAATATATTATATAAAATCCTTTGCCTATATTTCTGTTCTGCAGAATATTTTGGACATTAAACACAGATTTAACCTGGATCTTCCTCATTTGAGTCCAGGTTTCTATTGTCCATTCTCAGCTGTTAAATATGAAATCTCAGGCTGTTGCTGTCAAAGTTTGATGCCTCCCACCGCATCCATGTGTGGAACTCCTTTTATATTCCCTACTATCTGGGCAGAGATCTGAATTCTGCTTTTATCCAGAGCTGTCTGGATAAAATTTGTTCACTAAAAGCATGTATAACTGAAACCTTTCACTTTCACTAAAAATGTATTTGTCAAACAAAGCACCAGATACCAAATCATAGGCATTGGAATCATTCTCAGAATTGCACGTTTACCTTGCGTGGAAAATGAATTAAAATGTCATCTCAGGCAAGTTCTGCAACAGGAGGAATTAAATTCCACAGCCTGAATAAATTATGCACACTGGGAGAATCTGTCTGATTTCTCTTACTTTCCATAATTTATTCCACAATCCTTATATTTGAGCCCATGCTGGAATTTCATTCACAACTCACTGGAAATTTCATTCTCCCCAGGCTTTCAAATTTAGCTTTGCATCCATCAGGTTTGAAATCTAATATATGCATACCCACCACGCTTTTCCCTTTTGGGGTAACACAGCTATGCAGTGTGCAGGGAAAATCTTGAATCTTGCTTTTAAAGCGTGAAGCCCCATCTAAGTACTGCAAATTCCATGTTTCTGACATAATGGAAATAGGTTGGGGGCACTGCATCTTACATAGATTTTGCATCGGGGCTGTAGTTAATTGAGTAGCATGTGCTTTTGAAAACGATTCTGAAAAGGTCTTTCAGAAGCAAGGGGGTGTAAGCACGGGACTTCTTTTCAGCGATGGCACCTTTCTGGGTGGCAGCTCTCTGTAAGTGCTCCTGCAATCACGCTCCTGCGTGTTGTGACACACGTCTTCCCCAAACACGCACAGCTCTATTGGGAAGGATCCCAAGCCCCTTAAGGTCTTCCCTTCCTCCAAGGTTCACGACGTGAGTGAGTGGGAGTTTTATTCATAATAATTTTACATGATTTTAACAGGGTTCTGCTTACCCGCTTCGCCAACGTAGACTTCCACAGGGGCGCTGGCAGGGCTTTCCCCAATGATGTTATATGCGGTCATGACCACTTCATACCTCTTGTACTTTTTCAATTCTAGAAATGTAAATCATTGAGATTACAGGCTAGCATCGTCTTTAACAATCCCCAAGAGAATTTCCCTGCCAGCGTTCTCCCCCAGAATACTAGGAATCGCAGTTCATGAAGCGGTTGAACTTCTCTACTAGCCACTCCGAGGATGGTAATTTCCAGAAAAAAGGACATCGAAAGGATTATTGTGAGGGAGCACTGCAGGTAAAGGCCAAACTGTCTAACTTTCTTCCATAACCTGGGATAATGATCGCTAGCGTACATGGTTTGAAAACAGAATTAGGCAAATTCATGGGGTTGGTGATTACAAGTGAGGAAACCCAAATAGAATCACCGTGATCGCAGGCAGTTTGCCACTGAATGTCAGTTGCTGGGAAGCCGTGCAGAAACAGAAGATCTGCTTTTCAGGGATGCTGTGATGATGGACTTCTTCAGTGACAAGAAACAGGCCGGGTAATCTTTGAGGTTGCTTCTGGCTTCCCCTGTCATTTTGCTGATGGGGTTCCCCAGATGTTAAGCATTAGTTGAAAGGAAGATAGTCCGCTTTGAATATGCCAATCCTAAAGCTGCAAATATCTGCAGACCTCTGGGACGGAAGATCCAGGGATGAGCCTCTCCTCATCATCCTGCAGGTTATTATTGGAGAAAGCTGTCTGGGCTGGTGCTGGAAGCTGGGCCAGACAAATCCATCATTCGATCCAGCAGAAGATCAACCCGCTGGACGACAGCAGAGATAGATGGGTCTTCAACAACTCCATACCTCTTAAAATAACGCCACAGTAAGAGCTACAATACCCAGCTTGGTATTCTTGGGGCTGGAGGCTTTATTAGAGAACAAGGAAAGCATCTGGAACCTTGGGAGATGGAGCGGGGTGACACTGAGATGTCTTTCCTACGCAGCAATCACAGCTCTTTAAAGTCACCAGCACCGCACTCGGCTGCAACCTTTTGTGAGCTAAAACAAGGAGGCAACATTGACAGATACAAGGAGGGAATGACAGCACACTACAACACATAAAAAAACAAAACTGGTACAGGGGAGGAGAGAGTGCAGGAAGTGGGGAAATCCTTTGGCTGTGGTATAATTAATCACCAAACTAGCATGAGGGCAGGAAGACCAAACTGCACGCCTTCCCTCTCCCAGAGGCCTGTGCGTCCTTGAGGTTCTGGGGATTTGCATATTCAAATTAGGCCACCTATCTTTCCTGAGAATATGGATCACCTGGGGAAGCCCACCGGCAAAATACACATGGAGAGCTTTGCTGGAAATCTCCAAGAACGGTGCTGGTATCATGCAGAGGTGTTTTACTTGCAAATTTGTTTTCCAGCGACGTGTGAACTACCCTCCAGCTCTGTCGTTCGGCTGCAAACTATCATCCCAGGAAAGGTTCTGTGAGATTGATAATGAGCCCTTCTAATTTCAGATTTCCTAAAGTGCTCACAAATATTCTGCCCACATATCTGAGTCAGACACCGGTGTGTTGCCTGCCGGTTCCAGGTAGACAGACAGCTGATGGTATCTAATTTACTGCTTACATTTTGTCAGCATAATAAATAAAACTACTTGATATATTGTAGGAAACTGACAGTTTTATGGGAATCTGAAACTCCTGCCAGTTAATACACAAGGACTTTTTTCCCTCACTTGCAAGGGAAGTGATATATTTCCAAGCGATGTGCAAGAAAATGGCATTTGGACATGACACATTTTCTTGGCCCGTGGGGAATGCTACAGCAGAATGCGTTGCTTGGTGGACGGAGCTCATGAACGTCCATGAGGGCTGGAAGCTGAGGATGTTCAGGGGTAGTGTGAAAGCAGACCCTGAGCTGGAGATACTGGCAGTGTATTATGGGGAGAGGAGGATAGGATTCCCAAGAACAAGAATCCAAGGTGGAGAGGATCACCCAGCCTGAACACAGTTAGGTGCCTGCAATACATCTGGTTCACCCATCTGGACTCTTTTCCAAGAGGACCCCTTTCTGAACTGTGCACCAAACTCCCCTAAGCACCTTCTAAGGCCCTGAACTCGTAGGAACACCTTAATATTCTTGGTAGGCTAATGAAGGCAATGCTGATGGGTCTGAACACAGCCTGGGAAATGTGAGCCAAGCAAATCCATGCACATTTGCCATCAAACCTATCCATTTGTATGAGCAGTTCCACCAAAACAATCCAAAATAATTTTCTTCAATGACTGATGGTTGAAGCACTGAAAAATCATTTAAGCTAACAAGAAGTCATTCTCTGAAATCGTCACCCCCCCCCCAACCCCCAGTTAACTTCAGGTTGAAAAGAGGCTGTTCTCAAGCCCTGCAAAGAGTTATATCTAACCACCCTTGCGTATGCGCTAATTAACTTACTTGTTAATTCGTAGGTTGTTAAGACAGAGCTGCTGTTCACTGCCTTGAAGATGCTTTGGGCTATTCAAGGTAAGCAAAGCAGAAAGGAATCAGAGGGCAAGGTAAGCAGTTACTGTCAAATCCACATGGTTCCAGAAGTTTGAGGTGAAGTAGTTGGGTGTGCAGGCAGTGTTTGAGGCAAAGACCCCTCCGGCCCCCCATCTGCCTGCTATACAAGCCAGCCCCCTTTCCAGGGAACATGCTGAAAGATCCTCAGATTGGAGGGCTTACTCAGCCATCTTCCCACATAGAAAGAAATGATAGAAATGAACACTGTAAAGCAATGAGAAATGTCTGGAGAATCACTGAGCCAGCACAATTCTGTTCTAAGGAGAAGAGGAAGAGGAGGAGGATTCTCCAGGAATTTTGTATTCTTAGGGTTTCCAATGTTAGAATAATGGCGGCGGGGGGGGGGGGGGGGATTT